AGCCAAAACTTCTCATTCGTCGGTAAACACTTCGCATGCCAATAGGTCTTCCGTGTTCTGCAAACCATTCATTTGCAATGGACCTGGTAGTGGAGAAACGGTCCCTTAAGGTCAATAATCTTAGGCGGCGATCTTCACGGTCTGTTGTTCTACGGCGGCGTCCAGTGCCGCTTGCTCTTTGCGTACGGCCTTCTCGAAGCCATGCCTGACAACACCTAACCACAGTGTCTACACTTCTTTGCACTCTAACTGCAATTGCCCGAAAAGAAAGTCCAGCTTCCCGAAGTCCCACTATACGGCCCCTATCAAACTCACTAAGTTGACGAAATCGTACAGGTCTCCGTACTCTAGGCATCGTAACCGATCGTAAAGGATGTCAAGAACCAACGTTGATTCTTTACTGCGGCTGAAATTCTCATTTTTAGAGCGTTAGTGAATTAAAAAAAAGCAGTATAAAAACCGGAATGTCCAACTGACAAGGCTGAAAATGTTTTCACTTGTTATTTACAGTAAGATAAATACATTCACCAACTTTTATTAAAATAAAACCATTTAAACTGGGTGTTCGGATTTATATGTCACTTAGTATATTTTACCTACACTTTCAAAGTTATTAGAAAAGGCTATGTACACTTAAATAAATGTCTATATTTCAGAGCATGGGAATCTACCGGAAAAACAATGTGGATTCCTGAAGTGCCTCGATCTCACTGATAATATGGTCAATGCGTGGGATCATCATTCAGTTACATCATTAGTTCTCTTGGACTTCACAAAGGCATTCGCTATAATAAACCACTCTCTTTTGATTGCTAAATGCAAGCATTATGGTTCCGATGATTCCTCACTGAGTTTCTAAAAAATAGATCTCAAAATATCTACTTTTCAATACCTAGCAACAACGATAGAACAGAATACAGTTAAGCGTAAACGAATAAACGGTATTTTACTAAGGGCACATAATCCCACAAGTTACACATTATTACATGGCGATCTTGCCAGTGGTCCTTAGAAGAGATTGACTAGGGAGCTGCTACTGTAATTGGAAAATCCAGAATACGGAAGAAAAAGAAGAAGAAGAAGAAGAAAGAACTGGTCAAATACTATCTGCTGGCTCATCCTGAAAAGAAGAGCCTCGAGAAAGTTCAACATATTTCCTCAGAAGCTACTACTTTCAGTATCGATATGCCTCTAGCCCAAGGTTCATAAAAGAAGCCCAATGCAGTAACTAACAAAAAATAAGGATGATGAAAATGTGCATAAGGCGCCGTTCATGTATCACGTGAGCACTTTGGGGGGCGGGGGGGTCTTTGGTTTGCTTATTTTGGATGACATCGGGTTAGGGGATTACGTCATCGGTAGTTATTTACTTTTTTACACGAATGGCAACCCTCACATTGTCTTTGCTTGAAAACGAAACGCATTTTCGGGGATTCCCGCAAATAATGCATACGTTTAGTGAACAGCGCGCAGTAATTCCCCTACTCGCTTTAGAACCGAGTAGGTGAATTACTGCGCTGTGTTCACTTGTCTAAATTTCCTCTATCAGTGTATTGTTTCGTTTGGATACTATAGCGAGTAGACTTATTGTAAGCATAGTAAAGCAAGTTAACATTTGTGTTACCATTTATTCCATTAGCCACAGTTTAATGTTTAAATAAGATGGCGTTTCACATAGACAAATCCAAGCTATACCAAAAATTGTTTGAAAGTTTTAAAAAATCTCATACAAGAACGAAAGTACAAAATGTACAAAAGTTAGTTAACGAAGTGTGGCGAAATTACAAATTACAAGCAAAATCCGACAAGGAACTAGATATTATTGTATCTAAGAGAATCGAAGAAGAATTGCAAGCGGCGACTAAGAATAAATCCAATCTACTAATTTTTTTAAGGTGAGTAACGAAATCCTTTTTGGTACCTATGAGTACTAGAAATATTAGAAATCGCCAAAAAGTTTCTCTTTACTGATTAGAAAATATTATGGCCTATCTCAAAGTATAGAGGTAATATTAATTATATTATATATTTATTTCTTATGATTGATTACGCCAATTGGTCACAAAGTACAGAATGTTAGTTTTATACATATATACAGAAAACTAACACCCTGTATTTTGTGACCGGAACGAATTGCTCGTTTAAACATATTAGATTTAAAGCCATATGGTTTTGTATTTACCATATATATTGCCATACTTTGTATTTATGTAGCTTAATAAGAGAATCTTTAGCAGAAGCCATAGAAAGTTTTTATTTTTAGGCAACCTGTAAACCTGCAGAAAAAACACAAATTACACAGTCAGCTTCAAATATTAAAAAAGAGGAAGAAGATAAAATAAAACCCGGTAACGAATCCCAACAAATTAATGAAAATACAGATAAACAGAGAGCAAAACCTTCTCACGAAGCTATGGAAAATAAGATTGCTCTACTCGAAAAAAATCTGAATGCTTTGTATTCTGCCAGGGATACTACGCCAAGCCGTGCTGAAGTTGATAAACGTATCATTAAGTTGCGCGAGAAAATAAAGCAGCAAAACAGTCTTTAAACAGGAAGGTTCAAAACGCAGTTGCCCAGAAGAAACACAGGGATGGTATGAAAAGAAAGTTAGAAGATATTTGTCATGAAAATCCAGAAATAAAAAAAAGACTATCTCTGAGGGATTCAGTGGGTCGTCTTAAAAGAAATGAACATTCACTATTGAAAACAATCGCGGATATAGCTTTATTTGGGAGTGCAGCAGATGATAGAAGACGAACGGAATCAATTCGCAGCGTAAAAACTCTTGATGAACTCATACAAAAATTACGTAAAATAGGATTTGACATTAGTCGCAGTGGGACATATCTTCGTTTGATTCCCAGAAAATCTAATTCTGCAGAGGGACGAAGACATGTATCGACATTCCCTGTTAAGCTCATTCGGGCTCAAACTGATCACCACAAGAGCCACTTAGATATCAAGTTCGCTGAAACATCAATCCATTATTTAGAGAACATAGCATCTATACTTGGACCAGATTAAGTATTTTTCATATCTCAAGATGATAAAGCTCTAGTCCCTATTGGCGTAACTGCGGCAAATAAGCGAGCACCTCTTCGAATGCACATGGAATATAGAATCAAATTGCCCGATCGCGATTGGATAATCGCTGAGCGTCATAAATTAATACCATCTGTTTATGCTGGTATCAAAATCACTTCCAATATGCTAGGACAACCGCAAGCCGTTGGATATTCTGGACCAACATACATCGCTATTCGAAGTGGAAAGCATAGTTCATCTACTGCTAATACTCATGCTCAGGATTTCGAGACGCTTCTCGAACTTGAAGAGTTTCGACCATTAGCTAAAACTGACCATGGACTAGTAAAACCAGTGGTAATCATGACGGTTGATGGAGGGCCAGATGAAAATCCACGTTATCAAAAAGTCATAGGGTTTGCTATACAACACTTTAAGCGACATGATCTCGATGCATTGTTTTTAGCTACCAATGCTCCTGGAAGAAGTGCGTATAACAGAGTAGAGCGCTAAATGGCTCCTCTTAGTCGAGAACTGGCTGGTTTAATATTGCCTCATTACCATGTTGGGTCTCGTTTGGATGAACGTGGCGTTACAATTGATGAACATTTAGAAAGATCTAATTTCGAATTTGCAGGAAATGTATTAGCTGAAGTATGGAGTTCAATGGAAATTGATGGCTATAATGTTAATGCAAAATATGTTGGGGCAGGTGAACAAGATCTTCCTGATTTTCCAGACATTAAATGGTATTCAGAACATGTGCGTGAGAGCCAATACTTGCTTCAAATTGTAGAATGTAGAAATACAGAATACTGTCGTCCAAAAAGTGGCCCATTTAGATTACTAGACAATAGGTTTCTTCCACCACCTGTAAAAGTAAAACAAACAGTTGATGACTTGGTTTTAGATGAAGGAGGGCAATTTCTTAATCTTCCAGTCAATTTAGCTCTACGCTTAAGTGCTTCACTCAAAGATTTCCTGCAAATGCCCTACGATTATTTTTGTCCGACGGTAAAATTGAGGCTATCAAGTCGAACATACAAAACGTGTGGTCTTTATCATGCTTCCGTCAAGTCACTAAATCGTCACATCGAAAATATCCATAAAAAAGTAAACACGCACACTGATAGGAAAGTTAGACCTGTAAGAGTCGCTGCTCATCGTGCTAATGAACTGATGTGCATTATTCAAAATTTAGAGCACCATGATGTTGAATGGCTCGATGAGAACGACGTAGACATTCCAAAATCTGATGAAAGCGAGCAAACTCACAACACTGAGCAGCAATCGAAGAAATCCAATGTCATCGAAAACTTAGAATCATGGATTCGGGTTTCATGGACTGAAGACTGTTAGTTTGAATTTAATATATATATCAAAAATTTAAAATAAGTTTATGTTAGTAAGATATAATATCTTTGTCCTTTACTCTATGTTGAATACCGTATCAGTAGAATATAATCTCTATCCTACATCTATTTTCTTATTTTTCAAATTATAATTATATTTCAGCGTCCAATCCTCTATATCACTTAACCAGGTAGTACGCCGTACGTTGCTATATCGCGCACAAAGTTTAAAGAATATTTTTTCCCCCTTCCGCCATCAGTCCCCCGCCATCCATTCAGCATTCCAGTCATTCGTCGTTTGTGCGTCTCGCGTGCATGTTGCTCTTGCTCCAGATACGACAGTGCAAGTGATCTATTATTAAAAACGGTAAGCTTTACCCTCTAATCTTAATTTACATATAATATTTTAGGACATTTTAGCTATGGAAAGTACTAACGAGAGCAGTAGCTCCGAATCGGAGCATATCTCTAAAAAACAGCTATTTAAAATGATCAAGAAATTGAAAAAGAAAGTACATAAACACCGCCATCACTCGCCGGCGCCGGGCGAACGGAAAACGTCTCGTTCACGGTCCCTCTCAAGGCGACGATCCCGATCGCGGCATAGGCCCGCCAGATCACGTGACCGGAGCCCGGCTCGAGACTACCATCATCGAGACGTGAGGTCCTGCTCAGGCTCACGACAAGGCAGCGTTGATCGGCACCCGCGCGGTCCGACATTTTCAGATTTTGACGACCGTTCTCTGCGCGAAACGGAGTCAATAATCATCGATGCCGCTGCTGAGCCCGACGGCGACGGGATGGCAGGTACCTCAGTAGAGCTCGGGCGCGAACTGACTGCGTCCAAGAATGCCTCGCCTGTTTTGGAAATTGATATGCAAGAAGATGAATTTTCAATGTTTTTGGGAGAGGATCCTAACATAAAAAATAAAAACATTTTTGAACTACATAAAGCCCTATGTACACGATGGGGTCATATATTGTCTCATGGCCTTGATAAAGATCAAAAGCAAAAAATTTTGGAGCGTTATCCCTTACCAAGCAATTGCCCGGAGATAAATGCTCCATTAGTAAATCCGGAAGTAGTAGGAGTGCTTTCAAACCCCCACATAAAAAGGGATGAAGCCCATTTAGGCATACAAAAACAACTGAATGTCGGTATAAGCGCTCTTGGGAAATCCATGAATATTATCCTAGAAGATAAGGAAAATATTCCTAAAGAAATTAAGGAACAATTACTAATTTCTTTGGGAGATTCAGGCCGAATCTTTTCGGATTTGTCATTTAATATTTCAACCATGAGAAAAAACCTTATAATGCCGAGTTTAAACAAGACAGTAAAAGATCTAGTATCAAACACTACTCCGGTACAATTTCTTTTTGGAAGTGATATAGGGGAAAGAATTAAAGAGGCTAAATCAATTGAAAGAGCCAAAAAAGACCTGAAACCCGAACCAATGACAACTCAGCCTTCTACTAGTACTAACTCTTCGTACAGGCGACCGCATACTGAAGCTAATGTTAGACCAAACTTCAAAGTTAACCCAATTCCTTTAAACAGGAAAAGGCCGGTTCGCCGAGGGGAGGTGAAACCACAAAGGGGCCATCACCCCAAAAAAAAAAAAGAGCAGTACCAGAGGAGGAGGCATTATTGGTAAGTCAATATGCAGGACGACTAAAATTGTTTTTGTCAAAATGGAAGGAGCTGACTACAAACGCACAGATTCTATCCTATATATGTGGCTATAGAATTCCGTTTGATAGTAAGCCCTTTCAAGTTCAAGTTTGTTGTCAAAATCTTTTCCCCTGAAGAGAACAAACTAATAACCGCTGCACTGGATGAACTTTTATCTATAAATGCAATAAAAGTTTGCCAGCCAAGCGATGACCAATTCATTTCAAAAATATTTCTTAGAGACAAACCAAATGGTAAAAAGCGTCTAATCTTAAACCTAAAACAATTAAATTCCTTTATAAGTGCTCCCCACTTCAAAATGGAAGATTACAGGACTGCCTTAAGGCTCATCCAGAAAAACATGTTTTTGGCTACAATAGATTTAAAAGACGCGTACTTCGCAGTACCCATAGAAAAAACCTACAGAAAGTACTTAAGATTTTATCACAATAACACCTTATACGAATTTACATGTTTACCATTTGGTTTGTCAACTGCACCCCACTGTTTTACCAAAATAATGAGGCCCGTAGTGGAACATATGAGAAAAAATGGCATTGTTTGTGTTAGTTATTTGGACGATATTTTTATTTTGGGAAAAACAAAAGAAGAATGCGAAAAAAGTGTGTTTTTTACTCTCTCGCTCCTTCAATCTATAGGATTTATTGTTAATTATGACAAAAGTTGTATTCTCCCATCAAAAACTTTAACATTTTTAGGTTTCGTTTTTGATTCCATAAAAATGACAATCGAGATTACGCAAGACAAAAAACAAAAAATTTTACAAACTTTGCTCATTTTAAAAAAGAAGAACTAATATAAAAATTAGGGACGTAGCTAAATTTATCGGCTCTCTAAGCTCTGCCTGCCCAGCAATAAAATATGGCTGGGTTTACACTAAAGCATTGGAAAGAGATAAATGTTTGGCTTTAAATAAAAATAATGGATCTTATGATGCATGGATGCAACTATCTCCTATGTCAAAAATAGATCTATTATGGTGGGAGAAAAATATTTTAAGTGCATACAATGAAATAAAACAAGATACTTTCTGTTTAGAAATATTTAGTGACGCTAGTCTTACCGGGTGGGGGGCTTGTGCAGAGACAAAAACAGCCAACGGCTGGTGGTCTGAAGATGACAAGAAATTTCATATCAACATCTTAGAATTAAAAGCAGTATACTATGCTTTAAAATGCTTAGCTAAACAACATAAAAATTGTAATTTGTTGATTAGGACCGATAATACGACTGCCGCCTCCTGCATAAACAGAATGGGTTGCGTTCAACATACAAATCTAGAAAAAATTACTAAAACAATCTGGCAATGGTGCGAAGAAAGAAATATCTGGATTTTTGCTTCTTACATTCCTTCTAAAAATAATGAAATAGCCGACAAACAATCTCGATTAACTGCTCCCGAAACTGAATGGTGTCTTTCCAAAACTGCTTTTAGTGAAATTCTACAAAAATTTGGAAAGCCAGATATTGATTTATTCGCATCAAGAGCCAACACAAAATGTGAAACATACATTTTGGAAACAAGATCCAGACGCCTTAGCAATAGATGCATTTACTATTTGCTGGAAAGACTTGAATTTTTACGCTTTCCCTCCCTTTTCAATGATAACTCGAACCATTCAAAAAATAATCACTGATAAGGCTGAGGGAATCTTGGTGGTGCCATTGTGGCCTTCACAACCCTGGTTTCCGAAATTCACATCAATGAAAATCGACGAAATAATTTTTTCGCCTGACATTAATTTACTCTCTTCACCTTTTAGAGTGCACCATCCTCTAGCAAAGAAACTTTCCCTGGTGGCGGCCAGATTATCAGGCAAGCTCTCCTCATAAAGGGATACCCACAATGCTCCATCGATACAGCCATAGCTTCAATTTCGTCGTCAACAATGAAGCAGTATGAGGGAACATATAAGCTCTGGTGGCAGTACTGCCAGACAACAGATGTGGATATGTATAAAGCTGAAGTAAATCATGTTATCTCATTTCTTCAAAGTTTATTTGATGCGAAAAATTATCAGTTTGGTACATTTAATTCGCATAGGTCCGCTCTTTCACTTATATTAGGAGAAAATATACAAAAAGACTATCGTATATCCAGATATATGAAAGGCATAGCAAAATTAAGACCTTCAAGACCCAAATACAATTGTACATGGGACCCACAACAAGTGATAAACTTCTTAGAAAAATGGGACAATTCCAAAATCAGCCTTCAGCATCTATCTTATAAAGTTGCAACTTTACTAACACTTGTTACGGGACAGCGAATTCAAACCATTTCTCTAATTAGAACCTCGAATTTCCGAGAAAGTTCCTCGGATATACAAATCTTAATAACCGATCAAATAAAGACGTCTAACATCAATAAGTTACAGCCATGTCTTCAAATACCGTTTTTCCTAGAAAACCCATCAATTTGCCCAGCTACAGCCATAAAAAACTATTTGGAAATCACACGGGAAAAAAGATCTGCATCTGATGATAGGCTATTTATTACTCATAAGAGTCCGCATAAACCAGCGACAAAACAAACAGTAAGCAGATGGGTTAAAAATACACTAAAGTTAGCTGGTATTGATACAGACATTTTTAAACCTCATTCCGCCCGCCATGCGTCAACTTCAGCGGCACTAAAAAGTGGAATCCCCATGGAGTCTATAATGCAGGCGGCCGGCTGGATCAGAGAAACGACATTTACAAGATTTTATCAGAGGAAAATAGTTAACAATACTACTTTCGCTGAACAAATCCTTTCATTAGAATCATAAGTTTATCTTCTTTTCGTTTTTAATGGCCTTTATACTTTCATTTTTAACCTGATTTATTGACATCAGGTATATTATTAGGCGTTATTTCTTTTAAGACATAACGTTATTTTCTTGAGTTGTTAAACAATAGGGAGAAAATCCTTTTTAGTTTTGTGTTAAATTAATGTTAATAAAAAATTAACAAATTTTTTGTATATAACTTATTACTCAATTACAATCGTCACTACTTTAAACATCTACCTGGTTAAGTGATATAGAGGATTGGACGCTGAAATATAATTGAACGATCAAATGAACTTACCTGTGAAATTCGATCGTAATTATATGAAGCGTCCAATCCGAAGATATCACTCCCACCCTAACCCAAAGCTATTCAATATATTATTATTATAATAATATACTTACCCAAACGATTGTAATTAACCAAAATACTTTGAACAGAATGACTGGAATGCTGAATGGATGGCGGGGGACGGATGGCGGAAGGGGGAAAAAATATTCTTTAAACTTTGTGCGCGATATAGCAACGTACGGCGTACTACCTGGTTAAGTGATATCTTCGGATTGGACGCTTCATATAATTACGATCGAATTTCACAGGTAAGTTCATTTGATCGTTCAATTATAACGTTATAATTATAATATTAAAAAAAAACAATACATTAATTGACAAATGTTTACGTAAGTATTGGGGGAGGGGGTAAGAGCTTTGCTTACTTTTGCTGACAAGGGGGATGGGGGGTAAATAATTGTAATAAATCTACTTACGTGATACTTAAACGGCCCCTAACAGTCATTGAAGGAAAGGTGAGAAATGACAGTGTCGAGGATCTGTTACAGTGATTTTTTTAGGTTTTTATTTTAGCTTACCGGCAAAAATGAGCAATAGTTAATACTAGATAAATACGGAACAATATTCAGTGGCACTGAAAGGATGAGCAGTTGAACAGTGAATAAAATTTATGGAATACAAAAGATGGACAATTTGCAAACGAATTCATAAACGATATGTATATCAATAACTGTATGTAAGCTCGCGTCATAGTTACTTGACTATCCACGATTATCTCTTTGATGGTTTTTTCTCGGTGCTGCAATTTTCATTATCATTCCTGTATATTAGCAAATAAGGTTTCACACCGAAGTGAAACTAATTGTTGTAGATAGTTTCTTGGAATTTTATTGAATCAGCAAGTTTTTACTTACTACCAACTATTCTCTTGAAATCCATTTTCAAGTTCCTAAAGGATAATGGGAAAAGACATTAAGATTAAATTGAGTTCTTTTAGAAATTTGCTTGGAATGTTATTGAATCAACTAGTTTTTACTTACTACCCACTATTCTTTTGAATCCATTTTCAAGTTCCAAATGGATAATGGGGAAAGACATTAACAGGAAATGGAGTTGTTTTGGAATGGCGGAAGCTATTGATTTCTTTCGGAAATAGAAGATGGGATGGAAGAAAGTAGGTAGCAGAAAAAGAAGCCTTCCTCTGTAATTTTCGTTGCTCAGGAATTGAAAACTATGTATCCGTGTTGAGTGAACAGTACAGTCTCGCTAACCCAAACACGGCTAATCCGAACATCCGGTTAATCCGAACGGCTCCGCGGCGAAAATTTGATAATTTTAAGGACGAAAATCGGGGAATATTTCAATATAAAACCGTGTAAACCTTAGTTCAAAACAGTTCTTTATTTAATATTTACGCACTGTACATCAAGTTATGGTACAAATTTTAAAATGGAATAAACTATAGAACAGAACACTAATGAAAAATTGTGCAACATAAGATTGAATACATACATATAAAATATGTACAGTACAGTACTGATAATGTAGTGAACAAGTACTTAATCCGTTACTCCGGCCAATACGAACAATCATGTAATCCGAACAGGTGTCGGTCCGATATTGTTCGGATTATCGGGACTGTACTATATTATCTACAATGCTTAAAAATAAAATCTCAACTGATAAATACCAGTTTATGTTATGAGTCCAAATTTTAGCATCTAATTTTTAAATCAGGTGAATTGTAAGGCTTTTCGAAATCACTATTTGTAAGAATAATTTTCATTTTCTATTTATCACCCTATAAGGTAAATGATGCTTAACTTAGTACGAGCCCCTTCCCTCTTCAGTTGGCCCAACTATTGAAATCATAGTTTTTTCTTATCAAACACAAATAATAAAAATGTAGCAGAGTGTTATAGGTTTAAAATATTAACAATGAATATTTTGATAATATATAGTAGAAAACACCAACTTTATCACTCCCTGATCAAATTTGCAGCAAAAAAATGACACATGTTGCAATTACAGCATATCAACCTATTTTCATTTCAATGCAAAATAAGTCGCATAGGTGGCTGTGAAAAATAAAAGCCTTGACAATTGTTTTTATTAATCACAGCTGTCAGAATACGTTTAAAATAGTTTTTGGTAGTTAAGGTTTTCAAAATGGGTAGAGGAAAGGTTATTAGTGAGAAAATTCGGTTACTGATAATTAAATTTTCTAATTCTGGGAAATCAAACTCAAAAATTGCAACTTTGTTAGAGTTATCGCGGTACAGTGTGAGAAATATTGTTAGAAGATATAACGTAACTGGTTCAGTTAATATTAAGCCACGATATGTGAAAAAAAAGTAATATCACAAATGCCGACCGAAGAGCATTAAAAAGAATAATCGTGAAAACCATTATTTACAATTAAGTGCTCTGTGGAGTGACGCTGTTGGAAGGAGAATTTCGAGATCCACAACTCATAGAGAGACCCACAAACTGGGCTTTAGCACTTGCAAGGTAAGTTTACTCATAAAAAAAGTGAAGTAAAAACCCTAAAGTTGCACAACTTGTTTATAGGCCAAAGAAAAGCCACTATTAACTCCACTGCAAAAGAAAAATCGGCTTAGATGGGCTAAAGAACATAGACAATGGACACCTCAACAATGGTGTGCAATGGTGACAGTCGCAGTAGAGTTATTCGCAAAAAAAATTAAGCATTCCATGTTGACTGCCTGAAGAGAAAAGTGAAATTTCCAGCATCCATTATGGTCTGGGGTAGTATGTCATCAAAAGGAGTAGGAAAACTTCATTTTATTGATGGAAAGGTGGATACAAACAAATATTTGGCAATTTTAGAAGAATCGCTTGTACCAGTGATGGAAGAATGTTTGACATCCGGCCAAGATGTTGTATTTCAGCAAGATGGTGCTGCGTGGCATACCTCAAAAAAGGCTATAAAATGGATCGAATAAAATAATGTACCACTTTTGAAATGGGTTTCTAGCAGTCCAGATGTGTCACCTATTGAAACTTTGTGGCACGAGATGAAAAAGGTTCTACGACAACATCGTGCTCGTACAATCACCGAACTGAGACAAAAGCTTCAAGAAATATGGGATTGTTTTACACTAAATTTTTGCCAAAACTTGGTTAACACTATGCCCCAAAGAATTTCAGCCGTAATAAAAAATAAAGGTGATGTTGCCCAATGGTAATCTTTCAATTGTTGCTTTGTTAACATTTATTCGCACATTGTTTATTTGTTCAGATGTTCTATTAGTTATAGGTCTAAGTGATTTCAAATATCTATTTTTTACGTCTAGAGTGTATCTAAAATGTTTTTGAGAAAATAAATTGTTTAAGAAGTAAATAGTTTCGTCATGTTTAGTTTATAAAGGCATATTTTGGTACAAATCTTGAAGTGGGCCAACTGAAGTGGGAAGGGGCTCGTATGATTTTTAAAATACAGCTTCATCTATCTTCCACATTTTCTCTGACCAACAGCAGAGTCAGGTTTTAGGCATTCTTCTCTACCCCACAATTGAAAGTTGCCCCACGTTTGTCGGGTATTCATCGCTGAAGCACAGCTTGTTAGGTAATTGTCTATTAGAGTCCATTAACTTTAACTTCACTGTGGTGCAACGATATGCCTCTCCATGGTACACGCTATAGTACCGTTGGTTGTGGAAGGGGTACTCAAAAAATCTGGGCTTGACCTTCTTAGTGAGAAATGCTTTAGTAATTTTCTGTAGTTATGGGTTCCAGGAGGTAGTGCACGATGCTCTAAATTTAAATCCGTTTTCTACGCTCGACAGACGAAGCTGTAGGTGCAAACGGCATGTTAGTTCCCAGTGCAATGAAAAATGTTCAGACATCACATTGCTGTTCCTTCTGTATACAAGTGACCTGCCCGCATTGATTTCCTCCACATGTTCAGCTTATGCCGACGACACCAAGATTTACAATACTGTCGTAAATTCTGCTATGCTTCAACGAGATCTTGATATTGTTTGTCAATGATCAGTCAGTTGGCTTTTACCCTTAAATCTAACTAAGTGTTGTGTCCTTCACCTCGGGAAGACAAATCCGCGATTTACATACAAGATCTCTGACCACAAAATTGAAGCAGTTTCCAGCCACACTGATCTGGGCGTTGTAGTCAACGATCGTCTCTCCTGGTCAGAGCATATTCACCACGTTACATCAAAAGCCAAGAAACTTCTATACATGCTGGAGAGGTCTTTCAAAGGATCCGATGTCAACACTTGCGCCTACATTTGCAAGGCATTCGTGAGGCAAATTCTTGAATTCGCTGGCCCGGTATGGGACACTGTGCTTCTGCGCGATAGAAATCTCGTCGAATCAGTACAGCGTCGGGCTACTCGTATCCCTTTTGGAGCACGAAGACCAAGCTATGAAGATCGTCTTGAATTATTCAACCTGACCTCATTCTCTGAGCGAAGACTTCGTGGCGATCTTATACTTACGTTCAGGATACTTCATGGTTTGATGGGCACCAACCTCATGCATCTATACCGTCTGTCGCGCAGCAATCTACGCGGACACAGCTTCAAACTGCATAAGGAGCCATTTAAAACAACAGTCCGACAGTGGTTTCTTCCCAACCGCATATTCAACACCTGGAATAGTTTACCTGAAAGTGTGGTTGGTGCTACTTCAGTTAATGGCTTCAAAGTGCAGTATGATAGCTGGAGGAGTGTACAAACTTTATAGCTATGAACTGTCTTTTTTTTATTTCTTTCTATTTGATGTATTTGTGTTACGTGTCCGTACACTATATTTACTGCATGAGCTTATCGTACTGTGTACTCTGCTCATCTCAATTATCATAATAATAATAAATAATAATAATCCACAATTTTAATGCATTGCGCTCTTACTCATAGAATAGCTGTAAACAGTTATTTATAAAGATTTGATTACTGTAAGTAATTTAATTGACCTTGACATTAATTTCAATGGCATAACAACACAAACGCAATGATCTGTATCTTGCATTTAATAAATAGTGTTTATTTATAACGGCAAGCTGCGTATTATCAATACGCTGTGTTAAAAGCCTCCTATTGTAGATTCTTCCACAATCTCGATACCCTAGCTACAAAGAGCCGTCGTATCGGCCAGTTCTGGACGAGAGCTCTGAGGAACATGTTCTGCTGACACAGCGGTAGAAGAGCGCAGATGAGTTCGTGCCAGATCAATAACTCGGTGATCTGAAGGTCAAGGTACTGTGTTTTGGAAACGTTAAACTGTACAAGATTGTTGCGTCCCCAAGCAGTAACAACCTCCAGTTCTCTCGTGAGAAAGTAAGTTGTTGTCTTTGGTGATCCAGCGTCTCGGACTATCTTAAGATGTATACGGGTGATTATGTTCCTATCTCGCATAGCTTGCAGTTGAGGTCTTCC